CCCCCCCCCCCCCCCCCCCCCCCTTGTCCCAGGCGGGAGCCTCCACCGAGCCCGGATTGCACGCCCACCCGGAGGTGCAGGGCGCACAACACCCCCGCCCCGAAAACTGGGCGCCTTCGTACACGTCGAATAGGAATGGCGCTATCCCGACGGGGTCACGGTCTGGTCCCTCCGTTAGGTCGATCGGATACGCGTAAAAGAAAAGATTGTCCCATCCTTCGTCCTGGGATTTATGGAGCTTTGGACCCGTCGTAGGATGGATCGAACACCGGAAAAAGAAAGAGTCGTAGGTTTTGTGGCGTCCCCTGTGAAGATGGCGCTGTGGTTAGCTTTTGGAGGTCTCTTGCTGGCTGAACGGAGATGTGTAGTGTAGGTCTTTCTCCCTTGGGGTTATTTATGGGCGGGGGTACGGGGGTGAATTCATCGTACTGCAGACTGGGTCGATTCGAGGAAAAAAAAAACCGTTTTTTTTGGCTGCTGACTCGCCTGGTAGAGCGGTAAAACAAAAAAGTCGGCGTTTTTGTCACGATTTGTTCTGCGCTTGACTGTCTGGTACCACTCAGCACATGTAGAGTTTGCTTGTCGCTTCGGCTACGCGGCAGGCTCGTTACCAGTTGTCATACTTGGCGCTTGTCGGTTTGCTGTAGCTGTAGCGTGCACAGAACGCCAAGCATCTCAGGCGAAAGGGGCGGAGGGGGGGGGGGTCGTCGATGCGTATTTTTTCATGTAGCATAGGTAGACTCGGGCTAGTTGATAACGGCACGTTTAGTGACGGACACGCAGGGGAAAATAGCCTAGGCAGAATGATTCTTGCCTCCGTCTGGCGTGAAGGATTTCATCGTTATCGTATCAGCGCAAGTAACCCGATGAGCTGGCCAGGGCCAGAAGCAGCAGCGGCAGTCGACGCTCCACGCTGTGTGTGCGTGTGTGTGTGTGTGTTTTCATTTGGGGTTTATGGAAAATTGTTGGTCCACCCGTAGTTGGAGCGTGTGCAAAGAAAGTGAGCGGGTTGACGTGTTTGTCCTCATTTGTCGTCTCTTTTTTCGCTATTAAATTTAACAGTGTTTTCCCACGTCAGGAAAGCTTCACGACTCCTCGACTACCGTTAGCCCTCGTGTTGTTGTTGGCTGTTTCGTGTTCCTACGTGTAAGATTGTGTTCACCCCTTGCTTCTCTTCTTGGTAATATACTGATTTTCGTTTTCAGACTTTAGATGCGTGGTTGTTTGGCTCTACCAGATTGAAGAAGGGCAGAGTTACATGTAGCTTCATTCGACAACATCAGGTGTTGTGATGGAGACGGTGTGGCCAAAAGCGGCGAAGCGTCGACCGTTTCCACTCGTCGTTTTCCCGCCCTTGAACCTCAGAAGGCACTTGAGAACCTTTTGTTGTGGCCGAGGCTCTGGTTCATACAATAGTAGTTCCCAGGGTTATGCTACGAATGGCCGCTATGTAGGTTTTCGTGTAGTAGGTCTTAACCGAACTCACAAAGGTGCTCAAGCTCCTAGGTTTTGAGTTTCTTTAGGCTATGCTAACCTCTCAACTGCCAAGTTCTTGAGTGCGGGCGCCTGGTGTAGTCCATGAAGTACATGCCAGCCCCCGCGGCGGCATCGTTCGAGACCGACCATGCATGGGTGAGAACTACCATGCATGCTACGAAGTACTGTTTTAGACCGTGGTCGCCTGGATGAACGTTGTTTTCCGAAAACATCAATTCGGAGGTTGTGATTACCGTTGTGGGGCGCCATTACGTGGTACACCACAGTATTGCTGCCAACTCGTCCTTGAAAATCCCATTTCCTTAGAAGAACAAAGCGGCTGGTGTCTGTCGGATGTCGAGTCATTCAGCCCCAACTCATTCCGAAATGAAAACATGTGGGAAAAAGGAACTAAACAACTTAGCCTTGTATTCATGCGGTCTTGGTTTTGCAATCACCACAGATCGCCCCCCCCACCCCGTTATCACATCGGCAAAAACGCCCACCATTCTACGCAAGGCGTGATTGATTCCGAGTCTACTCGAAACAACCCCCCTCCCCCCCTTCATGTTGCCTCGAGCTCCGCCTCGTCGGTCGAGAAAACGAAATCGATTGGTGCCTCCGGCGGCGTGTTCTGGAGCATCTCCACAACTTGGTCGAACATCAATTCTCCGCAGTCGACACCACAAGCCGCAACCAGAGTCATGCCCCGCAACACGACTCCGGATTCCTGGTGGGATCAAGCAAGCGTTAAAAGATGAGCACGCACGAATGCAGCACGCCGTTTTGGGTGCGGCGAGACAACGCAGTTCAAATTTGAGAGAGGCAAAAAACGGCAAAGAATCAAAGAGTCCGCAACGGAATGTGTGCGTGCTCACCAGTTATCTTTGCACATGAGCTACAAGGGAGAGTTACCGTAGTAAACTACGGAGTTTTCCCCCCGGGGAAGGGGTCGTTTTTTTTCTGAAACCAAGCCCCCCGAGGGGAAATTGACGTACCGCCGGGGTTAGTTTTTTTTTCCAACGCTACCCCGGGGGGAAGCCCCCCCCCGGGGGGTTATGCAAAATAATGATGGTCCACACACCACACACACAGAGATTGGCGAAACTGATATGGATAAGATTTACGAGCAAGCGTTCGACAAGCAGAGGGAGGAGGAACGTACGAGCAACGAAGGCGAAGACAAAAAGACAGCAAGGAGGACAGCAGTTGGGGGAGTTTGTCTCGTCCCGTGAGTGATTCCAAGAAGAGGAAGGGCCCGCCTTCCAGAGAGTACCCGCCAGATTTGCAAATGAACTTCCGTTCCATATCATGCTTTTCGTGCTCCGCGATGCAACAAAATCGACTCAGAAAATGAGGGACATACATCATTATGGGGGAAATCGTGGGAAAACTGGTACCCCAGGGGGAAATTGAAATACCCGGGGGGATCTATTTTTTTTGGTCGAAAACGATCTACCCCGGGGCTAAATCAACGAAACCATGCTTCCAGGCCGAATAGATAATGGGGTGGGGGGGGAGGGACTCTGCTAGGGAGGGGAAGCTCCGTAGTTTACGGTACTGCTGTGCTCGGCGTTTACACCAACAGATCGCAACGGCAACGAGAGTATGACACAAAATGTATTTTCTCCAAAACCAACCTCGGCGCTCCCTCCCTCGACCATGTCGTCCACTCTCAGGCCGGGCTTGCCTATTTCCTTCTCCGCTAGCATGAGCCCGATGGGTTTGCTTAGCCGAGCTCTCACTACGCTGCTGTCCATCCCCGCATCTCCTTTGCCCAAGCTCCCAGCAACCGTTACTGCTGGCGTGTTGGAGCGTGGTGCGGCCCGGAGCGGCGACGAGGCGGGCAGGATCCATGCTTGGCGCACCTGCACCAGAAGCGCCATCAATAGCAGCAGGAGGTACATATCGATTTGAGGCAGGCACCCTTCCCCTTCCCTCGCTCGCCTTCACCCTCTCTCTCTCTGCCTTTCTGCCTCTCTGTGTCTCTCGGTCGCTCTGTGGTCATCTCATCTCATCTCTGTCTCACGCGGGCGCATGATGTATAACCCCGAGTTGAAATCCTCTTGGTAGGTTTGCGAACTCCCGACACCGTTGTTGTCTTCCTACTTCCTACAACACTGCCGCACTTCCCACCACACCACAGCGGTTGGCTCACGGAGAAAATGCGCGTCGTTGGGCGGATGCTTCTAGGCGTGTCAGCATTCGGTTGCGTTGCAATGGCGACTCCATCGAGCTCCGGAGGCGCTGTTGGCGCGACGGCGCCACAGAAGGTGTGGCACATTTGCGTACCGAGCGACGGGACTGTCAGTTTGTTTTCCTCTTGTCTCAAGAAGGTGAAATAGCCCGACCTCCTCGCGTTTTTGCAAAGTTTGTGGGCGCTACACCCTGCGTAGGCCGTGGATGAGGGTTAGGGTTAGCGTTGGGGTGGGTTGACCAGGGTGTGTGACACATCCCATGTGAGGAACCTAGGTTCAACGTCCGGTTAGACCTATTCGAAAGAGTCACAAAACCGTAAATAGACCTCGGGGTTGTATCTCGAGACTCTGTATCTTTTAAATGCACGACATGCTCCACATGCTCCACATGCTCCACATGCACGACCCCAGGCGGTAGCGGTCTGAAACTGGGCCGTAGGGGCGCCTACTCCGGAGAGTCCAGCATATTGTAGTGACCTGAGTGTTTGCGAAGCATCCGATGTAAATGCTGCAACAACCATCAAGCCCGTTGAAAGGTAAACTACGCGGGGTGCAGCAAGCACGTTCTGGACGTTACTTGGGGCACTGGGTAGTCGGCCGTGTTAGGCCGAGAGAGAGAGATTGAGAGAGAGTTGGAGAGAGAGTGGGAGAAGGAAACTTGATTGGAGAGAGACGGTGGTGGTGGTGGAGAGAGAGAGGAAGAAGTGAGCGCAGCACGCACGCAAGCTTCATCGCACCAACCACCCCAAAAGGGTCCCCGTGACCGCACCGATGGTACCCTGCAACACACGAAATTCCCAACACGTATCCCCCTGGGATCCTCACGACCAGATACTGCTGCGAGTATATCTAACATCCCCCCTGCTCGCAATAGTTATTCACTGAAAACTTCGCGAACACTCGATATCTCAACCAAAATACATCTCTCCAAGAATATATGCCATCAATACTCACCAGAATAACATAAGAGGGAAAAACAATTCAAAGGAACATGAATACTGCATCGCGCGTAACAAATACTTGGCGCGAGAAATGAAAGAAAACGGGAAACAAAACGAGAAACAAAACAAAACCAAAACACAACCAATCAGAAAAACAATAAAATGTTCATGCCAAATTCATTGCAAAATCACGGTGAGACTCGAAAGCGTCCTTCGGCAAGCTCTTCGTGAGAAAATCTGCACGCTGGTACGGAGACGGCACGTGGATCACCGAAATTTCCTTCCTCTCTACCAGTTCCCTGAGAAAATGGTGCCTTACATCTATGTGCTTCGAGTTCGAGTTTGAGATGGGGTTCTGCGCTAGTTGAATCGCCCCCTGGTTGTCCTCGAAGACGGGGATACACGGCATGCCGACCTGCGGCAACATGAAACGCCAAATCTGCCTCAAAAACAAAATCTCCTTCACTATGTCACCAAGCGCGACGTACTCTGCTTCTGTCGTCGAAAGCGTGACGCACTTTTGCGTTCTGGAAAACCAAGACACAGCGCCTCCTCCACACGTCACGATTCCCCCTGATACCGACCTACGGTCTGCTGCCTTGCTTGCAAAGTCCGCATCAGCGTACCCCTGCAAGCTGAATCCTTCTACTGTACCCCTCTGAAACGAAATACCAAAGTGACTCGTCCTCCTCGCATAGCCTAAAATATCCATCGCTGCATTCCAGTGTACCAGCTTCGGAGATGCGCAATACCTAGCTACTGCCCTTACAGCATTCGCAATGTCTGGCCTAGTTTGAGTCGCCAGCCACATCAACGATCCTACCAGCTCACGAAACGGAAAGTCTGT